TATTGGGACGGGCGAGGGCGGTAGAACGTGCAAGTTTTCCCTGCATACGTCACACCGGCGCAATTCCGCTTGGATATGCACGCCTTGACGCAGTCAGCGTTGGTGTTGACGTTGGTTAAGACTGCGCTGATGTACGCTGGATCGGAATCTTGGGGAAACACGATGGCTTGGTCAGCGGCCGTGACCATTTGCAGCGACGTCGCTCGCGTGTACATGTGCACATAACAATACATGTGGTCGTTCCAGTACGTGAAGAAGTTTTGTTGATGATTGGACGCCATGGCGGCGCATTCGCCGGAGGACGTCACGTTGATGTACACGTTCAAGTTCAGCACGGACTCGAACAAAGGGATGTGCACCGGGCCGGACGCGTGCGAGAAGTTCCGCGCGCGGTTGGCCATCTCGAACGCTTCAACTTGCGCATTCACAGCCGTCATGGTGGTCATGTCGATCCACTGCGCACCCGAAATGAAATTGAATGCGGTTGGGGACAACGAATTGGCCGCGTACAGCCCGGACGTGACGTTCGAAGTCCGGTTGATCGGGGGGTCGTAAGGTAGCACGCCCGCACGAGCGCCACTAAATCTGGACTTCCGCCCCTTTTTGTTCTTGAGCAAGCACATACCGCCGTCGACGGGGATCCAAACGTACAGCGTGCAACCCAACGTGTCTTCGCAGTCGCCGCAGCAATCTCTGAAGTCGGACCGATACGTCGACAGGATGTCGTTGCCACGGTAGTCGACGTCGTACTCGACGACGGGGCAAGCAGGCGGTGTGGGGACAGGAGCTGGCTTCATTGGGTACGATGCAATGGCACCGGGATAATGCGTCGGGGTTCCTTTGGCAGATTTAAGCATACACGTGCCAATGTTGCCTCGAAGCATCCACACGAACGCCTTGCACCCCGATGTGACCGAGCACGTGGCGCAGCAGAGGGCGGCAGTGTTGCGCTCGAGGACGACCAAGTTGTTGCCGGGGAGGTCAATATCGTAGAACATGTTTGAGCATTGACGAGGGGGAGGCGTGGGCTCTAAGGTGACCGTAGCGGCGGCTAGCGTTGAATTTGGGAGGGCTACGACAGGAGTAGGAGCAGATGTGGTTTGTGCAGGAGGGGGTGTCAGACTTGAAGATGGGAGTGGCGTCCAAGCAGATGTGGGGGTTGGCGCGGAAGTCGAGACAAGGGGGGCAGCAGGCGCTGCCTTGTGGCCAGGTTCCGATCTGACGTCGTGGCCTCCGGCATTCCCCGGCGTATTGGTGGCGTCACCAGCCGTCCCGCACAGAGGCTTCTCCAACCGAGCTACTAGTTTGGCGGACCGTGACCCCGCTCGAAACGATTGTTTCAACGACGAGCTCTTGAGATGACACGTGCCATTCATGGACGTGCTGTGCTGTTCCCACGTGAACGCAGTGCATGTCGGGGTGTCGTCGCAGTCGGCGCAGCACCCTTCCATGGAGCTTTGGCTGGTTTGCATGATATCGAAGTCGTCGTACGTCGTGTCCTCTTCAATTCCCGAGCACGTCGGTGCCGTCGCGACGGGGGCTACGAGCAGCGATGCCACCACCGCAGCTAACAGGACCAGCCTCGGCATGTAGCTTCAAGACGACGCGGCAATTTGTACAATGGGGTTGATGTCCGTCGGCCGGCTCAGCACCCACACACCAGGTCGGTATCGTAAGAACTGTTGTTTGCCAGGCGTAGGCCATCTTACGTAGCTCACGTGGAGCAACTACTTGCACCCAAACAATATTGCGAAAGCTTGACCAACCAAGCACACTGATCGCTGAGACAACCGGGGTCCCTGCGACCTTGCTCAGATCAGGTACGCGCCAGCACCAACCCGCCTGCCCGATTCGGGACACTTACCGCTAAGGGATCGCGCGACCGTCGATTCGTGATCCCGTCGCAAGTGGTGCGATAACATTGAAGCATCTATCATGTCTCTCGCCGTGAAAGCAGAAGACGGGCCGTGCCGCTCCTTTGCTATATCACCATGTGCGACTTGGCCATCTCGATCTTGGACCATGTCTACGCTTCCAACAAACCACTGGGGTGGAGAAATAAATGCTCATGCATTTCATATTCAATTCATGAATTTCACAATGCAAAAGGATCGCGCCGATTTAAGAGGTTATACTGCATGTCGTGTAGGCGAGAATGCAAACAGCAAGGGAGGTGGCATTCGCTCTGTCAATGGGGTATGAGTATCTCATTTTCCACTTGATATCACGACATGGCGATGCGCCAACACATGTCTCTGGGAGGAATCCAACTCGTGCTTCGTTTGAGGTGATGCTAGTGCAGAAACTACGTCCAAGGGGCCGCGGGTTGCCGCCAAGTCCATCGCGACTGTGGAGCAACTCTTGTGCATATACTCTATCACGTCCTGGCTGCCGTGAGCGGCGGCGTTGCCCATCGCAGCCAGCGTCCGTCCTGCAGCGTTGTGCTCATTTAGGAATAAAACTTTATTCCTAAATGTTCAGTCATCCCCTAGACGTGGCGACGTTCACGGCTTTAACGAGGGTTCGCCTGAATCAGCAGCGCGTGTGTGGGCGACACGTTGTCGAATGTACACGAGTGCGTCGAGATGGCCGGACCGACCAGAAGACATGGTCGACTTCATGAGATTTTCATTTTCATCGATACACAGTACAGTAGTTGGATTTGATAAAATTTCTGTTTTTTCATTGAATTTCAACCAACTAAATGCAGCGGAACCTCTGGCGGACGCTTTCCCTTGGTAATACACGGTTGTTCCCCAGGTAGTAGACGAGGCATGTGGAGTTTTACTACCATCTGTAACGTGAGGAATTGTCGACCCACCCATGCCTTCAATGTGGTCAGTCCTGAAGTCAAGCGCAGGGATGTGGTCAGTCGGG